TTTCAAAATCATTTGAAAAAGAGAATTTCGAGTCTTCATTATGAAGTTTATGGACTAAGTCTCTGATACCAATTAAATTGTCACGCCCCGGACCTATCCGGACACGTCAACAATCCGTCGTACGATATGAATAGTCAACCGCAGTCTAACTCATCCATATTATACAAGGCGTCTCGAATATCATTCACACATAAGTCATCCATAAACATACATAATAAGTAATTGAATACGCAGCGGAAATCATAGTTTGAAAACAAGTGCCACACGGGGCAAACACGAGCACGCAGGCTCCATAATGAAAAACAATATCCATGAGCATGTTTAAATTGTTTAAAAACAGAATGGAGGAAGCACGAACCAAGCCTTCCCTCCGAGATGATCGCCCGATCAACAAGCACAGGTAGCAAGCTCTGGCCTCAACCCGAAATGGTGGTGGGACGCCCCCCCGAAAGGGTGTCAGTACTCTATACGGCTATAAAGTACTGGTGTGGATGACATCTAATAGATATACAACAAGTATTTCAAACACAATACCCTCAAATAGGGTGATAATATAATTCTAGGTCGTAACCGCAAGTTACCCCTTTTTAAAATATACTTACTTTATATATAAAGTCAAGTAGTCGGCCCATGGACCAAAGTTTGTTTACAAAACATAACCCAAACCTTGTGACCCCTAGTCACGACAATACATAGGGTTCAACCCTAACACACATGTTTGCATTTCTCGAGTCCAACTCGACTACATCACCATGCACATCAATCACAAGTCAATTACTCCACCAATCTCCGACGTCATGTTCACCCATGCAATTCTAGAGCATCAAGCTCAAGTACATCTCCTTACATGGACTGAACCAAATCCTTATGTCTACCCAATTCAATTCTAGAGCGTCGGGCTCAAGTATATCTCCTTGCATTGGCATAGACCCCAATTCCTAAGCACTCGCTATGCCTAGAATTGTAATATCAATAATCTATTTCGGGACATCCTTGCGGACTGCCTCATCATGATCTTAGCATCACATTACAACAATTTACTCACTTGAACCACAATCAAGTATATCACTTACAATCAAATCCTTAGATTCAATTTCTTAGCAATTACAAACAATCATTAACTAGTATTCCAATACTATTAAGATTATTCCCATCAATCATATATTTCATTTGTAAATCCCTACATATTTAGAAATATGTAGCAGCAACTTATTCATCCAATGTAATACATAAATAATCATTTATGTATCTACACAATTCACACATGAGTAAAAATGCCTATTTCACACAATAGTTCATTTAACTCCATTTTTATCAATATGATTTCCAAATCATTTGCAATTTCATTACTTATCTAACATATAAATATTTCATCAATAATTAGTCATTATAATCCATGAAAAACATGATTTAGGCATTTAGGTAATCTCATGCTTAACCTACAAGTTGTAAGCAACTAGATGTCGATCCTCACCTCAAATGAGCTTTAAATTGTTCCTTCTCAACCCAATGCTCAAGCTTCGGCCAAGGGGGTTTGAGAATTGATTCCTTGCTTATAAATAGGTGTTAAACAGCCTCCTCAAGGTTCTTTCTCAACTCCTAACCGAACACACGAAAACAGTCCTTAGAACGGGTGTTTTCTGGCAGATTTGTTCCCTAACCTTTCAAGGTTTTGTCTAGGTTAGTATCTAACCTTTCCAACGAATAAAATCACTTCATAACAACATTTTATACACCTAAACCAGTTTACAATAGTTCCTCAATCATTTATATGATTTAGACAATAGAAAGGAAGGTTTTGGATTCGAACTTACTTTGAATAACAAAAACGTATTCTGCGAGGTTGCGTTCTGTTCGGATGATTTGGAGGCCTTAAACTGCTCCCTTTTCTTTAAACCGCACGTATACGGATTCCTCTCTTCGAGAGATTTCAGTGGACACCTCCCACGCCTCTCTTGGATGAGTAGAACGCGAGATATGAGTCGCACAAGAAGGCCAATGCACTGGAAATTTCCCAAACGGCCAGCTCTCCAATTTTCTCTCTTCTTGGGTTGTGCGGCTCCCCTCTCTTCCTTATCTCTTTTAGTTCGAATGGGGTGAGGGAGAGGTGCTTAGAAGCTCTCAATGTGATCTGAACGAGTGGCTCTAAAAAAAGGAAGGGTAGGGTATTTGATCCCAATCAAACATGGGATGGTCCTCCTCTTTTATTTCTCTTTTGTATTGTTTGAGCTCTTAACTCAATAGGTCCGCCCCATTTATGAGTTCTAACTTATTCTACTTGTTTTGCAGGTTCTAGGAAGGTGTGGGGCGTACTCTCATGTCCCCTGATTAATTTGGGAGCAAAATATCTACCAATACATCCAAAAGTGGAAAGATGGGTCCTATCATATTTGTCTTTTGTCCTAAGATGTACTTTTGTACTCTCCCCAATTTATTGAGATCAAGTCAACATCCTACATCATATTATTGGTCTCTAATATGTGTAGGGTGGTCCCAATAATTTATTTGATGTACAATTACAAAAGAAAATCATACTCTCATTATTTAGCCTAATAATGCCAAAGATGAGACCATAGGCATTTGTATTCTTCTCAAATCATTCCGTCATTCATTTATGATGTTAATATATATATAAATATATATATCTGGGCTACCAACCGTGTGGGTCACCCTCCAATGGGTCTAGGATGCCATTCTTGAATAATTACTATTTTTAGCAGGTTAGGCCCAATATAACATTTGAGCTGCCCGACCGTTCTTACATTGTACAGATGGGTTGTATATCTTTATTTAAGGATGTTGGACCCCGATATCAATGATATGGCCCAATTAATTATTTAGAAGCCTGTTACCATTGTATTTGTCCAAATAGTAATATGATTAATCATACGTTCCGTAAAACTTTAATCGTTTTACAATTGTTCGAAAATAGGAAAATTCAATACATAAGCTTTGAAATTAAATTTGAATTTCCAGGACGTTCGGGTGCGGTGTCACACCTAGGGATGCGTTTACATCGATTTTTCCGCACTGTACTTCAATACTCTGAGATTAGTTGTAAGTTCCAACTTTTTAGTTAATGACAATTAATTCTTTTCATCCCAATTCTATTGTTGATTCAATTATGAGTTGTGAGTAGTTTTAATTAGGGATTTGGGTTTGATGAAGGGCTTGATTACGATGTATAGCTACTTCTTGATGATTCAATTGATGTCTCTTGTAACCTAGAATGATCTCTAGAATCATAATTGCATGTAGAATAAATTAAGAGAGGTCTAATTTATTCTAGGACATCTTGACACACATCGTTCGCTAAGAGATTAGTAACGATTAAGAGGCCGTACACTCGCTCGTTTTGACAATAATTTAGATACATGTCGCATGAGAGATCAACTTGGTTCCCTAAATTATTGTACTCTACGCCGCGAGAGCGGTTAGAACTTAGTATTGATATGCTTTGCTCAATTAATTAATGTTCATGTGATTAAGGCTCCTCAGCCAGAAATCTGACTACCCCGGAATCAATCCTTGTTTCCTTCTGTCATTAATTAGAAAGAACCAAGCTTTATTTTCGTTTAGTTGCATTTTAATTTTCCAACAAATCAAACCTCGCATAATTGTTTTTAATTAATTTAATTTTATCGTTGAATTTAGTTAATACTTAATTCCCTTTTGTCCGTTTATGTGAATATGATGCTCATACTTGCAATCTATCTTACTAATGTTTTAAGTGCGTGAAAACTCACGTCATCATTTAATAATGATATGTATGTGCGTAGGTGATTCTCAGACGGTTGATTGGAATGGCCAATTGGTGAAGTGTGGGCAACATTTCTTACTTCTCAGATGCCATTTGGAACATGAATTTTACGTAAAATAATGTTTTAATAAGTCATCAGATTTTTGGACTTTTTATACCATTTGTGTTGCATGTGAGTTGCATTATGTAAAAAGAATTCACGGCAATAGTTATTGCCAGCCGTTGACATTTACACACACACATATAAAGATAGAAGCACCCAAAGATAAAATCTACCAAAAGTGTTGAAATAGATTTGGAAAAGGATAAGGGTCAGAGCCTCAAACTTGAAAAAAATGTCAAATAAGGCCATATTTAGAATGCTCTGTCCGGCCGACGCCATTTGGGCGGTTCGCGGTGGAATTTTTTGATGATTTTTTTTAGGAAAAAGGTGCAAATAGGCTCATGTACTAATCAAAAAAGGTCAAATAAGCCCTTATTTAGGAGGCTCCGTCCGGCCGTCCTCATTTGGGGTGGTTCCTGGTGGAATTTTTTGATGAAATTTTTTGAGCATCTTATTCATCAAGTCTAGTTTACTCATACCAAATGTCAGCTAAAACTTCAATCGGGAAGACATTCAAATGAATTCTTGAAGATAACTGCGATTCTAACTGCGCAGTTATTTTCAAGAATTCGTTTGAATGCCTTACCCAATGAATTTTTAGCTGAAATTTGGTATGAGTAAACTAGACTTGATGAATAAGATGCCAAAAACATTTCATCAAAAAATTCCACCGGGAACCACCCCAAATGGCGATGACCGTACAGAGCCTCCTAAATAAGGGCTTATTTGACCTTTTTTGATTAGTACATGGGCCTATTTGCACCTTTTTCCTTTTTTTAGAATCTTATTCATTAAGTCTAGTTTACTAATATCAAATCGGAACTAAAACTTCAATCCGGAAGATATACAAATGAATTCTTGAAGATAACTGCGCAGTTAAAAGAGCAGTTATCTTCAAGAATTCATTTGAATGCCTTCCCGATTGAAGTTTTAGTTCAAATTTGATATGAGTAAACCAGACTTAATGAATAAGATTCTCAAAAAAAATCATCAAAAAATTCTACCGGGAACCGCCCCAAATGGCGTCGGCTGGACAGAGCATCCTCAATATGGCCTTATTTGACATTTTTTTCCAAGTTCGAGACCCTATCTGACCCTTACTTAAGTATATTTTTTATTATCCATTTCTGTTGAGAAAACGTACTAAATTATTCGAAGTTTTGTTGAAAGTAAAATAGAGTAGGGATGGTCTGGGACAGCCGGACAGGTCAGCCTGGCCCAGGTCAGGCCCAGGCCCGATACTGTTTAGGCCCAGCCCAGTCTTGTTTAGGCTCGGAACACATACCGGTCCCGGCCCGGTGGCTATAAGGGCGGGCTTTGGGCTCGTTTTTTAGGCCCGACCTGTCCGGGCTCGGGCCGGTCCCAGACCCGATTCCACTATTTTTTTAATTTATTGTCCAGGCCCATCCCGACCCGGTCCCGGCCCGGTACTGTTAAGGCCCGGCCCGCTCAGTCCCGATACAAACCCGAGCAAGTACCGGACCTGAAATTTGTAGTCTAGAGCCCGCTCAATCCGGCCCGGAGCCCGGCCCGATCCGGTCCCGAATTCCCGATCCATCCCTAAAATAGAGAATTCCTAATTGATATGATTGAATAGAGTCAATAGACAGAGCTAGTAAGGCAACACAAGAATGACAAGATTAAACACAAATAATCAACCAAAATTATATCTCCATCCGTAGTTTCTCATCAATGGTGACACCCTGTCATCTCCGCTGGATTCGGGGCTGCTGTAATCGTAAGTGGGCATCCACTTCGCTTGCCTCGCATAAGCTTTCAGGTTTGGGCTTCTTGAGCCCATCTGGCGAGTTGGTCTACTTTTGGTTGATGAGTTCCATTGGGCTGATCTTTGGGTATGGATCTTATTCGAGTCTTGTTGGGTCCGCGCCTTAGCCTTGGCAGATTGAGTTGGGGCCATGAAGCTTGGAACATTTGCATCCAAGCCCGGCCAAGTTTGTCGGCGTCCATAGGTTGCTGCATTCGGGCTACTAGCTCCGCCCGCGTTAATAAAGTTATATCTGGTTGTTGATTGGACATGCTCGGGTCGGACTAATCGCGTGGGGAAATCAATTTCAACGGTCTTTTCGGATATACCATCCGAACTAGAAATGGTCAGGCAAGAGGCATCTTGTGGCCGCGAAGACTCGGTTGCTTGTGAAGCCATCCAACTCCTTCGCCATTGTGGCTCTTCTTTCCCAAACAACACTTCATGATGGTGGTCACTTGCACTAGAATCCCAGAATATTTGCTCTTTGTCCTGTTATAAACAATCAATAACATATTATGATGTTCAATTTTTAAAGGGGAGTTTTGAAAGATAATTAACTAAATAATAACTTAAGTTCAGTTTAAACAACAACAACAACAATATCCAAGCCTTAGTCCCAAAAGATGTTGGGTTCGGCTAACATGAATCGATACATGATATAACAACCAAAAAGAAAAGAATGAATAAAGATAAAAAGATAAGCTATTATGAAAAGATAATATAAAAAAAGATGAATATATATAAAAATGATAAAATAAAAAAGCTGCAAATAATGCTTATATATATGAGGATAAAAAAACTAGGAAAAAAAAAGATGAGGGAAAAAGATTATCAAAATCACTCCTTCACGTGAATATCCGCCCTCCACTTAGTTCTCTCCAAAGTCTGTTTGGGTCTTCCTCTCCCTCTCTTCCCTGCCTCTTCTCCACACATCTCAACTCGTCTAACAGGTGCATCACTCGGTCTCTTAAATTCAGTTTAAAGTGAATATTAATTCAACTATTTGAATTCACCCCCCGTCCACGGATGATTCTAATTATAATTCCTTCAAAAAATCTCTTTCCAAATTTATTATAAAAGAAGACTTTTCCCACCTTCTCCCCTGTTTCTCCTCTTACAACTTACCTGAGAAGTTTTCCCACGCTTGCCTGAACTCTAAAACATACCCTGAAAAGGAAAAAAGAAGATTTGTATAGGTGAAATGAAATGAGAAATGAAGGAACCTGGTAGGCATAAGCCGCATAAGCAAGATCTCTCTCTCTTTTCATCTCGGAATCATCATGCATTCCTCCATAAGCTTCCAGAACCGCATTCCCCACCCCCTCATCATCATCCTTCTCCACTTGCTCCTTCTGCGATGTCTTTCCGAGCTTCCTCATCCTTTCTTCGAGATTCTGCAATGACCTTTCAGCTTCAAAGTCAATGTTGACACCACCGGAGTGATGGCTGATGGAGGGCAGCTTCTGTTTGACTGCGGCGGATTGCAGCACCCTCCCGGCTTTGACTCTTCCCTGCACGCGCACCAAAGATTGCATGCACCGCATCGTCATCAGCGTCTGCTTGCGCACATAGTTCCCCCTTACCAATGCTTGCAGCCTCACCAATGCCCGCAATGCCCGAAGGGCTCGTCTTGCCTATCACATTCACTAATTTATCAGTCTTTCACTTCATCCTAAAAAGAATTACTAGTATGTTTTTTTTTCATTTTAAGGTTGAATAGGTTTTATTTTTAAGCTGTCCAACTCGGGTCACCTACTTACTCTCCCACACGGGAGGTCTCGAGTTCGAAACTCCGTAGAGAGAGTTTTATCCCTGTTTAGCCCAGCTCCTCCTCGACTCCCCCTGGAGTAAAAAAAGTACTCTTATGCCCCCACAACCCATGTTTTACGAGAATAACGTGCTTATTACGAAGCGTGTTGACATAACGAAAGGTGAAAATGTTCTTATTTGAGAGAATCAACACCTTTCATCACGCCAAATTGCTTCATATTTAGCACGTTGGAATGTTCAGTATATTTATTTTTTGTATATGAACTTATAGTGAATTTTAGTCTAAGAAATAAAAGAAAGCATTGGAAGTAATTAGTACAAGATATCCTCTGTAATGAGATTGAATGAGAGTGGCAGCTCTGTCCGGCTTAGACCAGCGGCTACATCCTGCCAACCTGAAAACCTCTGCAGCTGCCTTAGCGGCTGCCGCGGCAGCGGCTGCAGTGGAGAGTGCGACGGATATGGCACGGTTAGGATCGTCGACCGGCGAATCGTTGCCGTTGGTTTCCCTGCTGGTCAGATCAGGTGAAGGGAAATAATGTTCGAGTGAGACCACCTCCGGGGCTTCTTGGTCCCATTTGTCATCTCCTGAGTTGTTTCTGTCCTCCTGGGAAATTGAATAATGTATAGTTAACCTCCAATCATTAAAAGATCATTAAACATAAGCAGTACCTAGGTTTGTGGTGGGATTATGATAGCGATATAATAACTGGCTTCTAATAGTGACACCACCACTTCTGGCCTGGCTTCTTGGGACCATACATATATGGGTGCCCAGCAGAGTTAATTCAGTTAGGTAAGCTATCAAAAGTCTGCAACAACAGTTTGGAGCAGACCGGCCTTAAAGCTCCTTTGCCTTGCTGGATGTCTACTCTTAGACTTAACACTAGTTGATATCAATATTTCAACTATTCCAGAATCCAATGCATTACTCCCTCCGATTCGAAAACAAGTTCCACCTTTCCTTTTCAGGCAGATTCAAAATTAAGTTACACTTTCAAACATTTCCTTATTTGGCAAATTATCTATATCAAAACAGTGTCAAACAGTGTTCAAACAGTGTCAAACAGTGTTCAAACAGTGTCAAACAGTGCACTCCACAGTAAAGTCAAATTTATTTTCTTAATATGTGTGAAGTAAAACGTGGAACTTGTTTATGAATTAGAGGGAGTATATGTTACTACCTCCGTCCCACTATGATTGTCTCCTTTTACCTTATCGGTCCGTCCCACTAAGATTGTCTCATACCAAATTTGGTAAAATTTGTGTGGCTCTAAATCATTCTTACTATATTCTTACTTTATCAATTCAATATCAACCACATAAAACATTTTTTATTAATTTGTGTGTCACTCCCTCTTGTCCCATTGTTAGAGGGACGGATGGAGTAGTTGTATACATTGTTCTAATCATTCGGGTCCTAGATTGATAGTTTTCCATCATTCGGGTCCTATATCGATACATTTCATCTTTCAGGTCCCAAATTGATAGTTCGTCTATCTTTCAGGTTCCGGATTGATAAAATTCCTATAACTTTTAATATTTACATGGGTTATATCTATTGTAAAAACATTATAAAGTCATTAATGAATAATACTTTATTAAATCTCAGAGGAAGTAAAAATAAAAAGGATGGCCTATGAGGATTGAGGACTAGCCTCTAGCACATTTGGGAACACCGGAGGTGCTAGAGAGGGGGTCAACCTAGGACCTGACCCACCCAAATTTTAAAAATACTTTAGTCTTTAATTATTAGTGTAAAAACATCATCTAAAAATTTATACAAAAAAAATCTTTATACTCTCCTAGTCTGGCCTACTGGCTATGCCCATGTTTTATAACAATGTTTGTGTGTTTACATATATGATCAATGTTTTATGACCTAGCATGCATAATCAGAACTAGTATAGTCTTATAGCTCATAGTTAATTTGGTTAGTTAGTTGAAATAGTTGAATCTATTGAATTTTCTAACACTAATCTATATTGTTAACGGAGAAACCAAACTCTCCAATGGAGTGTTTTTTTACTCCAAGGGGTCTGGAGGAGGGGGTTGGGGGTAATCAGGGATTAAACTCACTCCATTGAGTTTCAAACACTTTATGTGCCTAGGAGGTTTCGAACTCGAGACCTCTCGCTAGGCGCGGTAACCTTGCAACCAGCTGGGCTGGAATGCTTGGTTACCCTCCAATGGAGTGGTATTTGGCTGATGTAGATGGTCACGAGAACCTTCAAAAAATCATCAGATTGAATCATTTTAATCAAGTCCTTGTATTACCAGTTCAGCACACACACACAAACCTAAATACCACCTGACAAATGTAAGTTGACTTTACAGTCAGTTGCAGGCATTGTAACATACTACGTACTAAATTACTAACCTTGTTGTTGGGAGAATCGTTCATAGGTTGTTTGTAGAAGACTTTCTTTACAGAGGAAAACCAACCGCTTCCCTTCTTCCCCATTTTATTTCCACGCCAAGAAAACCAGAAAACCAATGATCAGATTTGACCCAAATAAGCATAAAGGATCATATGACAGGTAAAAGATAGAACACAAGAAACTAAAGAATGTGGATATGGACTGTGATGGAACTAAATGAGAGAAATTATAGGTAGAAAGCTTTTGTGTATCTGTGCTTTTGATAGAGAAAAAGAGTTCAGAAATTAGTAGGGGTAAGCGTGAGTGTAATAAGTGCCCACTGCTATTCCCTCTCTGTATTTATCATTCTCACGTGACATTTTTCTTTTTTTCAACTTTACCTGGAAAAAGTTTCTAACCCTGCAAAACACAAATTCCTACTAAAATATGTGAGCAGAATCATTAAGGAATAGGTATGTAATACTATATATTAACTTTAACATTTAGGTTTAAATTTATGTTTATATGTGTTACACGGGAATTTGGAGCCAAATTGAGACTGAAATCTTCTCTTTCCTAAGATATACTATCCTCGTCCCATTTTATGTGTCCTATCTTGACATGGTACAGTTATTAATAAAGTGATTCAAAAAGTAAAAGTTGTGCTTCAAGTTTGAGTATAATATAATGAAATGTTGTTAATCACATATTTCTTTCCAAGAAGGAAATGTGACACTTATTTTCGGACAACCCAAAAAAGAAAATAGGATATGTAAAATGGGACGGACGGAGTAAAAAACTTTGATTATGTAAGTTACTAGTGTGATGATTAGTTTTATATTGGATTGTATCCATAACCAATTATAAATATAATTTAACCAGTGGTCCTTGAAAATTTATACGGACCGAACCTACCCATTAAATAGAACCAGTGGTCCTTGAAAATTTATTGATAACCCGGACCAGAGCGAGCCGTGTCCACCCCTACTTGAAATGACTATTGTGGATTTCTGAATGTCCTGCAACTAAAATATTGAAAAGACTAGAGTCACATGTTTTACTTCTGCTTCTATTTTGAAAAGTGACTTTCTAAAATGATTTTGGAAAAATGTTTAATAGTAAACGTTTGTAGTGTTTGAAAAAATATTGCTTTCAAAAAGTAAAAGTTGGTAGTGTTTGGTAAAAAATGTGTTTTTTGTGTAATAGAAAAAGTAAAAAGATATTTTTAGCTTGTCACTTTTGTGTATAATTTAAGTAGAAGTTGTTGATTGAAAAGAACCATTTCAACTTTTTTAAATCAAAAGCTAAAATTCACTTTTGTTTAATTGTTTGCAAACATACCCTAAGAGAGTGTGTGTAAGGCCGTAAGGGCTTCTACTTTTAAAACGGAATCTTTTTCAGAAATTATATGAAAAATGTCTAATACTCCATCCGTTTCACAATCTTTGATACATTTTCATGTTTTGGCTGTTTCACAATCAATGACACACTTCCTTATTTCCTTATTTGGTAAACAAATCTTTACCAAAACACTGCAAAACACTGTCAAACAGTTCCAAACAGTGTTCAAACAGTGCCAAAATAATGTTCAAACATTGCCAAAAAATGTACTCTAGAGTAAAATTTACCATTCAGTAACATTTTTTCCTTAATTCTCGACAAGTCAAACTGTATCAAAGATTGTGAAATGGAGGGAGTAGTAAAATTTAGTAGTGTTTGAAAAAGTGATTTTGAAGAGTAAAAAGTAGAGTATTTGATGAAAAAGTGCTTTTTGATGTAATAAAAAGGTGAAAAGCATTTCAAACATCAATCTATGTACTTTTGGCTTTTCATTTAAAATTTAAAACTACTTAAAAATAAGTAAAAGTTAGTGTTTAAGAACACCTGTTTTAGTTTTTCTCACCCAAAATCTCACAAAAGTGTTTTTTAGCCCTTACAAACACTCCCTAAATAAATAAACAAACTAATATACTTCGTAGTTGGGCTTCTCAATGAGTCATATCTCGATTCACATTCGATCAAAATCATTTTTGGACATGAGTATGACCGTATGATCAATATCCGTCAACCTTAGCTTGTTTACCCATTTTAAATTGGGTTGAAACTGGTTTTAAAACTTTAATTTAAACAAGGGTTTAAATAAGGAATGCTTCCGAATACAACAAGGCCCTGATTAATAAATAAATAGCAGGTCCAAAACTTGAATAATTTAACAAAATAATAAAAGTAAGAGAAATTGTCCTAAATATGACAAAAATATTGTAAAATTTCACAAATAGGAGTTTGAGATTTAAATTCCCTTATTATTATTTAGCACCCTATTTCATTTTCTAAACGAATCGGCGTATCGTCTGATTCATCTCATTTCTCTAATCTTTCTCCTGTCTCTCGAATTCAGACGTAAATCTTCATCTCTACGACTCTAACTCTCTCGCCGGTCTCTTCCAAATGCAGCAACATCTTCCACTTCTCTTCTCTACCGTGAAATCTAATTCCTCATCTGGTTGCAAACGCTTGGCGACAACAACGGCGTAATCAATTTATCGTAGGTAACTGTTGATCTCCTTCTCTTTCTCCCTCCTTTTCTCCTTCATTGTTTTCCTCCTCATCCTGTTTTCCCCCATCATCTCTCTTTTATTTCCTTTTTTCCTTTTTTGGACGATATTTTTTTGGTTTCATCTTGGATTGTTATCTTGCGTTGATTTCGATTAGTTTGTTTTGAAAATTTCTGATTCCTCTTTTCCTGAACATTTTTTAATTTGGAAGTGTCGCTATTCTTTATTCGAACTTTAGTTGTGAATAATGCCAGTTATATATATGGCACTGCCAATGTCACTACTAGTTGTTTAAAATACTACCCCTAACTTTGTCCCGTTTTACTTTTTTCGTACGTCCCATTAAGTTTGTCTCATATCATATTTGGTAAAATTTGAGTGGTTACAATTCATTCTTACTTTATTCACACTTTTTCAATTCAATATCAATCACACAATTCTACTTTTTCTTAAAAATCACACCACACCTCTTTGTCCCAAACTTATCTTGAATGAATACTAGTGTTATATTTTATATTATGTTCTTAGAATGAGTATGCAATGCTTTTAGCGGAAGCGGTTCAGCTCTGCTGGTCATCGACTCACTCTCCCTTATGGGAGGTCTCGGTCCAGTTTATTCCAGCCCCCAGACCCCCTGGAGTAAAAAAAAAGAGTATGCAATGATTTTGCTTGTATTTGGATTTCGCCGATGATGGAGTATATGGCCCGGGAACCCCCGGTCCACAGACTCCTACTACTCCAATAAAGGCCCAATAGGCCCAGGAAGCACAACAGGCCCAAATCACAGCGCCCAGAGTACCAAGCGGCCCACAGTGAGCGCTAGGGGTGCCTTCGGCCCCCTGACCGAAGGCTCCAATTCTCACAAGAGGGTCAAAACAGGAAAACAAAGTTACTGGGAGAAAACGGCGAAAATCAGTAGCCCTCGGCACCCGGAGCCCTCAGCACTAAGGAGGTCCCCGGTGCTCAGAGCCCTCGGCACTAAGAAGGTCCCCGGTACTCAGAGCCCTCGGCCAATCGTCTACAACCGAGGGCATCTTTTCCGACATAATATCCGCTCCACATGCGCATGGATCACCGTACCAAGTACGACGTCACATCCAACATCCGCATTAAATGCGGCCACATGCGATTGTCAGCGCCAACCAGTTGAGGTGACCCCTCGACCAATGGATGCTTGACACGTGTCCCTGTCTTGCATTTATTGCTACTATAAATAGCACCCCATTTCCCCGTTGTAAACGACGCTTAATAGATATCGAATATACACTCTCCCTCTTACTTATTTGCTCTGACTTCTCTCTAGTTATTCCCCGTAATAACCCCTCGGATAAGCTACCCCCGGGGTACACTATCCATCAGCCGAACTTCGATATTAAAGAGATTCAAAATTCATATAAATTTCTAAATTATTACCCTGAGTTCTTTAAGCTAACCATATTTCATTTAATTATCTTAATTTTACTTCTGTTTTGAGATTTATTAAGTTTCTAATTTTATTAAACATATATGTGTGGTGACTAGTCTAATTTCTTATGACTTTGTGGGTTTATCTTTTTAGTTTATGAATAGATGATGTGTCTTGTTGGGATATTGACCTAGAGGCCCAATACCCAGATCGAGAAGGCCCAAGATACCCGGCCCAAGCAACGGGCCCATCACTCTATGATGAATAGATCCAGTGGGAAGACATACCGAACGGAGTTCGGCCCAAATAAAGGTTGGCCCAGTAAGAAGACATACCGAACGAGGTTCGGGCTATATATCATACTTGGGCCAATTTGACAGCATCTTCAGTACAGCCCAACATCCCGTTCGAGCCACGGCCAACCAGCAAGTGGCCAGGTGCAATTAATGCCAGACTATGACATCAGCAAGTGGAAGCATGGATGACCAAGTCGGTGGAACAACGGCCAATCAGCAAGAGGCAGCCCATGCTCTCCATTAGTATAAATAGAAGGTTTCAAGTCATTGTAAGGGTTAGCATTTCAATACTCAAGCTCTAGAATAGCATCATTTGCCCTTACTTCTTGTATTAAAGCATAGTTTCCGACTTACCGATCGGGAAATTCCTTGTAATCAGATTGGTTAATTAATACAAGTGAGCTTTCGAGTTTTAGTTAGTTCAGATCTTATATTTTCTCATACGCTTTGATTCTGGGCCATTCCTGATATATCCAAAGTTCGTGTTGGGCTTTCGGATCTACGGGATTTACCTTCAACATTGGCGCCGTCTGTGGGAAACTTGCAAAAAGTTTCACTTTCTAAACATCCAAAAAACCTCTATTTTTCAAAAATGGTCAGAATCAGTTCCTATCATACAAACGACGGTTCACACCGTCACGGGAGGAGTCACACCCCGGGGAGTCAAAACCCCCAGGGACAATCCAGTCGAGGATCGTATCCTCGTTTTAATGGGGATTTTGTGATTCCCGAATCTCTGAGAAAAAATCCCCAGGCCATGCGTGACATGGCCCAATTCATGTAGCATATGGCGAATGAAGAGGAAGGAGGTTCCAGCTTTACAGGAGAAACTCCACGCGCGGAAACAACCACAGTGTCATCCCGTTCGCATACCCATCGGGATAATCGACGTAGCGCCCCACCAGCAGCGCATCCCAGTCCCAGTGACCGAACCCCGGTCGGGTTGCAAGCTAGAGGACCAACTCCCGTCGGTCATCATTTCCAGTATGCCGAGCGGGAAAATACTAGGGCCCCTCAGCGGCATTGGGACCGGGACTGTACGGATATGAGGGTTCCACCACCGCCCCC